CTTGTAAAAGTAATTTAAACTGTATAAAAAAATTGAAATCAATTGTGAAAATCCATTCCTTATATAGGACGGTCTCTCCTGTTGCCAATTGATAGGTCCAAGATTTACCATTTTGGTGTAACATTTGTAACATTTATATGATTTTTTCATATGTCGATCTCTCTTAAATATATAACACGAAAAAAATTTTCATAATTGAAAAGAAGATTTCATTAATTAATAATATGATGAGCGATAGACCAGTAAGAAGACGACGTCAAAGAAATCCTTATTTATCAACTGCTAGGTAGGTTAATGAATGCTATTGTACTTTACACATTATAACATGTAAATTATGGATTGTCCTTATTTATATTTATTAAGAAACTTATTCATTAAAATTTTAAAGTAACGCGTTTTTTGTTGGGTATGTTGAAGATGATGAACCCGTCGAAGCAATTATGAAAAAATTTGAAGAATTGGAAAAAATTCAACAAGAAATTGCTGCCACTAAACCTGAAAACTTAATTAATGATGATAATGTTGAAGAAGAGCCTTTGACTGAGGAACAATTGGAAGAAGTATTTAAAAGAACTTCTACATTTACCGTCAAATCTGCTACTCTAGCACCAAATGTTGATGATTTTGAGGATATAGAATTATGGAGAATAGAAATGGAAAATAGTATTGAAGAATATTATGAAGAAGAGTTAATTAAAATTTTTTTAAGAAAAATCTAAGAAAAAAGAATAATATTTAGTAATCCAGGGATTTTTCTTCTTTATAATAGTGATTACATGGCAGTAGATGATGATTTTTGGGATGAAGAGTTTGGTGATAAAAAGAAAAGAAAACGTGATAAAAAAGATCAGCGTCTTAATGAAAAAGCAAAACAATTACAAAAATATAAAATTTTACAAGCAAAGCGTGTTTTTGATAAAGATACGGAAGGGTTAAGTAATTCTTTAGGACTTTAAGAGGAATTTCGTACATACATGTATATAGTCGTTCTATCTAATTATTGATTATTATTTTTTAAAACAAATATTCATCAATCAAGAATAACCACTTTACAAGGACATCTAAAAACCATTTGTTAAAATATTGAATAACGCTTTAATGGTTGGTTTATATCATCATTTATCATATTATTATTATTAGTATTAGTATTATTAATAGATTTTTATTGCCTACGTATAATAGGGTGCAAACCAAAAACCATCAACATTTGTTAAAATCGTTATTTAAATAGAAGTATCTGATTCCTACATTTATAATATAGATTAATTCATAAGTATATAAATTATTGTTATATTTTTTATTTAAAGTCATTTTTTATATATTTCAAACAATATAAAAAAAATTTTTTTAATTATTTAGGCAGCATTTTTTTGTTGAACAGTAGGATTAATCTTTTTCCCGTCCTAATTAATCATTCAAATAAAATTAAACATTATTATTAAAAAAAAAAAGAAAATAAATTAAAATAAATAATAAAAATCAAACCTTATTATAACGAATTCTTGGTGGAGGAGCACGATTACGACGGCCTTCACGAGATCTAACTCTGACTATGTGAGAATGGATGGCACAAGAAACACAATAATGTACTTTTATGTATAATTTTGGAAGTGCGTATTCTATTATTTTAGAAAAAAAAAATTAAAAGGATGAAATCAATTCTAAATGAAACATAAATTGATCGATTGATTGTTAACCATCGTAAACTGAAGCCTCTGTAATATCACGAATTGCGGCACTTTCTACCATGTTTCGAATAGAAAACCTTTTGATAGATTTATCCTATTTATTAAATTATTGTAATTTGTTATTTATTATTTATTATTTATTTATTAAATAATTATAAATGACGTTAATATTTTTGTTTTATACTTTTTTATTTTACCTTGGGTACACATCTGGCACAATTAGAACATCTTACTGGTTTAACGTGACCACGCCCATGTTTATTACGTCCATGATTTCTTCTTTTTGTAGTCTATTTATAAGATCAAAAAAACCCAGCATCAACAGATAAAAATAAAAAGGATGCGGCAATGACTCAAAATAAAAAACAATTGGAAAGGTTGGTAGCAATAGCAAATAAATTGCTTGATCAGGAATATTTACGTGATTTGGCCAGGAGGCCTGAATTACAAAGTGCAGAAATAGGTTTTAA